CCCCCACCGCCTGGCATCTTTGTTCAATCACCTGCAATTACAAAGAGATACAAAATGAATAAAACATAATTAGAAAGAGATGTAAAATAAATAAGACATATTGCAAAATGAACAAAACATAATTAGAAGGTAACATAATATTACATGTCTTAGAAATAATCATCATGATCGGTATTAGCTAGATCATAAGTCTCATCATCACTATCATGCATGTCTACTTCCATGTTGATATCATGACCATCCGGAGGAGCAATGTTGTCATCACTGTCATTGCCTAATTCTAATCACCGAAGTAATTCTAAGTCCTTCACATTTTGAACCTCATCCCCATCGTCCTCATCATCAACCCTTTCATTGTCTACTTCCATTCTGACAGGATCGGTTATGTCTATCACAAAGCTCCCTTGTAGCCTCTCTTCTTGAAAGAACTCTCCGTCATATGTGTTTGGGTCAAAGTTGTAATCTTTATTGTTTGGGACAGGTAGTTTACTGTGTGGCGATACCTTGTTCACAACATCCCAACCCTTAAGATGCGGGTCGTCTTGGCACACCCATGGGAGATAATAAACTTGTGTGGCCTGTTGAGCCACGATATAGACATCGTCTCCTGGGTACTTGGAATCATATCGAATTTCAACTAGCCCAAGATTAGGGGTCCGTCTTATTTTTTTAGGATCAAACCAATGGCATTTAAATATGACAAGATTAAGAGGTTTACGGCCATGAAACGTGAGTTCGTATATTTCTTCAACTCTTCCATAATAATCGAGCCCATCAAGGGCGGGCGTGAAAACTCCGGTATTTGTGGTTCTTCGATTGGGCCGACTCTGCTCGTGTCTTGTTGTGTGAAAACGATATCCATTCACGTCATAACCGGTAAATGACATGACCCTAAAGGCACAACCACCGGCAACCTAACTCAACTCGGCGCTGATAGATGCATCGGTTTGGCCCTGCAAGCTCAAGCAGGATAGTTCGTTATATCATTCGCACATACGAGCAACTTGTAATGTCAAACTAAGTACGAGCTAAATTAGAACGTACCTTGCGTTTGAACAAAGAAATGAAATTGGGTTTTCCATTTCCCGCACCCCGTTTAAGAAGGGTGTGAAATTCCCGCGGGGTAGGCACCCTTGATTGATGCCAGAATTCATGAGTAAATTCCCTGTACCGACGAGAAACAAGGGGGTTGGATGCAGAATAGTGACTAGTCGAGAACAAGTTTATTGAAAATAGTGACTTACCCCATGTACGGCTCCACTTCTTCGAGGTTGGTCAGTACATATAGCATGATAGTGTGCCACTCTTCATGACTCAAGGTCTTGAGGGTCTTACCACTTGCACTTCCGAGTTGCCCTCGGAAAAGGCTGAGGTTCGATTCATTTTTCCCAGCATTGCAACGAGGGGGTGGATTATGCACGCTAGGAAGGTTGTCACCATAGTATGTTGTTGTGAAGTTTGACACCTCCTCCAGAATCGATGCCTCTGCGATAGAAGCTTCAATCTTGCATTTATTTCTACATTTCTTTTGAACAACCTTTAGGGTTCTCTCAATTGAATAGCACCAACGGGCCTGCACAGGCCCCCATTCATGCCTCATACGAGAGGTGCAAAATCAAATGCTGCATCGGATTGAAGAAGCTTGGTGGAAAGATCTTCTCCAGCTTACAGAGCAACACATGTGCCATTTTTTCCATGTCTGCAACCACGGCCCGAGATAACTCCTTAGCACAAAGCTGGTGGAAGAAATAGCTCAACTCTGCCAGCACTTGCCAGACATGATCTGGGACATAGCCTCGAACCATCACCGGAAGAAGCCGCTCAAGCCATATGTGGTAGTCATGACTCTTGAACCCATTGATTCGCATAGTAGATAAGTTCACTCCCCTCCTCAGATTCGCTGCATACCCATCAGGGAACATTAACGTTTGGAACCATTCTAGTACTTCCCTCCTTTGAGGCCTGCTTAACGTGAATTCGGCCTTAGGCCTAGTCAATTTCTTGCCATTTCTAGGAGGCCACATCTCTTGCTTTGGTCTGTCGCATAATGTTGCCAGATCCACTCTAGCCTTAACGTTGTCCTTTGACTTATCAGTGTCCATGATTGTTCCCCAAAGTGCCTCAATGATATTCTTTTCAATGTGCATTACATCAATGTTATGTGGAAGAAGAAGGTCATCAAAATAGGGGAGCCTCTCCAAGCCCGACTTGTGAGTCCATGCATGTTGCTCGCCATATCCCACAAAACCACCTTCTACTTCATTGACCTCGAGAGCATCTATCTGAGCACGGACCGCGGCACCTGTCATCATCACCGGTGGAGGGTCTGTAACTTTGAGGCCTTTCATAAAGTTCTTGGTGTCTTGTCTGAATGCATGGTCAAGAGGGAGGAATTGTTGATGTTTGTCAAACGAGGAATACTTGTCACCCTTCTTCAACCAAATAAACTTCAGAGTTGTCTTGCATACTGGGCATGGGAACTTGCTGTGAACACACCAGCCACAGAATATTCCATATGCCAGGAAGTCATGCAGGGAGTAGTGGTACCAAACATGCATCTTGAAGCTTCTCTTTGTAGCTCGGTCGTATGTCCATACCCCTTCGTCCCAAGCATTGAACAATTCATCAATCACAGGCTCCATGAACACACCCATACTATTCCTCGGGTGTTCAGGAATTATCAACGACAAGAATATGTTCTGCCGTTGAAAGATGACGCCGGGGGGAGATTGAGCGGGATAACGAACACGGGCCAACAAGTGTATGGGGCAGCCATCATTCCATAAAGATTGAACCCATCTGTTGCCAGTGCAACACGGACATTATGGGCCTCTAGAGCTTTCTCACGATGAATGTCATCAAAATGTTTCCATGATTCACCATCGGAAGGATGTACCATCTTATCTAGATTGTATCGACGTCCATTTTTGTGCCATGTCATCTGTTTCGCGGACTCCTCGGTCATGTATAGCCGTTGGATCCTCGGTACGAACGGAAGGTACCGTAGGATTTTCATGGGGATGTCAAGCTGCCTCTTGAGACCATCACCATAGTCTACCTCAAGGAACCTAGAGGATTTACACTTTGGACAGTGCTTAGCTTCCGCGTGTTCCTTCCTAAATAAGATGCACCCCTTTGGACAAGCATGTATCTGCTCATATGGCATCTTAAGTACACGGAGGAGTCTCCGCGACTCGTACATGTTCCTTGGCAGAAGGTGACCTTCCGGAAGCAAAGTGCCAAAAACTGTTAGCATAGCATCAAAGGCGTCTCGACTCAGGTGGCACTGGGACTTGAAAGCCATAAGGCGTCCAATGGCATCTAGTTAAGAGACCTTTGTCTAGCCGTGAAGGGGTTTCTGTGCCGCAGACAACATGTCGTAATACGCCTTTGTGGTTACCTCTGGCTCCTCATCCCTACGTCCTTCACCGAAGTGTGCTTCATGATAGTCACCTAACATGTCTCCTACCCCGCCATTAGCATCAAGATCCTCGATGCGCTGTCTCACGACCTCGTCTCTCCTACGTCCTTCACCATGGAGGGTCCACCGGGTATAGTCTGCCATAAATCTATACTTGCCAAGATGTTTACCCATGTCCACCTTTGTTTGTTTACGCCTGTTCTCACACTCGCTGTAGGGACACCAAACTTTATCCGTTTCTTTAGCCTCCCGAAATGGTGCTTCCAAGAAAGCGTTGGTCTTCTTCATCCATTCATCAGTCTAGTCTCCATAACCCCTCCGGCCAGTGTACATCCACTCACGGTCATCCATCCTTTACCATATACGCGAGTAATATAAGAATCCATTGCATCTACACGAGGATCCTACTATCTAATAGGTGAAGATAGGTCCTAATCTCACCCGAGGATGCGTAGATGAGGTTAGTTTCTATGCTCTACTTCTATCCGAGACAGAATTTCGGCAGCACCTCCCCGCTCTTCTCCAAATACACGTCCCGGCAGGGAGATTGTGTATCCGGAGAAAAACAGGGAGATGATACCGAAACTCTGTCTCGGATCGGAGTAGACCATGAAAACTAACCCCATCTACGCATCCTCGGGCTGTCCAAAAAATGTGGACAATTCGAAACACATACGGTTATAGATATGCAAAGATCTGCATACTTCCAACCGTATCCCTTTTGAACGGGAGACACCTAACTTGGTTATATGATTTACGAACATGATACAGAAAGAGGGGTTATACCTTGGGTGGCCGTGGAGTCAGGCTAGCAGGGCCGTGGTGGGTCGGTGCAGTGGCGAGGCAACGCGGTGCAGGCAGACCCGCAGTGGCGAGGAATACGATCGGGGTCGCCGAGGTACTCCGGCTCGGCTCCAACGGGCTCTTCTCTGCAAAAAAAGAACATACGGGCTTAATTGAAAATTTTGACAGAACCTCCCCTACACGGTGAGGTTTCTAAAACCTGCAAAAAAACGTACGGCACGATGGCCGATAACCACATATGCATATGCATTGGATTCACATTCAACCATGAATCATGTAATAATATATATATTATTTTTGACATTGATCCTGGCTGTGCTGGTGAGTTCACTAATTAATCGTTTATTTGTTGGAATTGTGTTAATTTATTATTATATATATAATATGCCAAACATGATAGCATGATATAGCATTCTGGTGCACAGGTTCGAAAGAATTTTTGGATGCATGTGATACAAATATACAATACACCTAGAGCTAGCAGTACAGTTTATATGCCTGCTGCTATCATATTACTTTCCAATGCAAGATGAGACCCAAAGCATGCATGTTTTAGTTAGAGAATTACAGTACAGTTTATATGCCTTGAGATGGTTAGGGTTTTGTGGAAGCAAGTGAGCTACTGTTTTGTAAAATAATATTCCAGAAATAATTACCATATGTTAAAAAAACTATTTCTGGAACTGTCCACTATATAGCATTATTGAGCCGCCAATGCTTTTTCTGGAATTGTCCACTATATAGCATTATTGAGCTTCCATATTCTCTTCTCGCAATGTGTATGTTCCTTGCCAAATGTTTTTCTACTTTTCCTGGGCTGTGTTGGCTTGCCCTTACAATGTAAGCTAGATATAAAGTGATTATTGCCTACCTGTTACTTAGATGGATTAATTCTCCATTATGTACTATTTCTTTGTTACTGATCTTTTATTATTAGTCTTGTACTCTTGACTCTTGATCTCTGTAAATGGTATTGCTCATTAATTTTTTTAAAGCAATCTGCTTTGGCCTAGGCGCTAAATATGCTGTAATGGTAGGCACATAATTGAGGAAACAGTTTGTTTCCTTTTTATTGACTTTTGGACTTTAGTTCTTTGTATAACATTTTATTTGTGAATCTGTCACCTGCTTCATGTCATGTTCACTGAATTTCCTCCTATCTTATCTTTCACCAAGAAAATAAAAATCTTTGTGTGACATAGGTATCAAGTGGATCATCCAAGTTATGACGATAGATTGAGATACTTCAGTATAGTGTTCGAGTCATTGCTCTCTTTCCAAACGGAGGAATCAAGAAACAAGTCAAAGAAACAGAAGTCTGCTATTGATCTTCCCAAAGCCCCGAAAGAAGTGGAGGGCCCTAAGGTTTCTGAGCTAAAGGCTAAGGCAGAAGCTGAGCAGCATGCTGTTCGTCGAATGAGGATGTGTCTCCGAGATATCTGTAACCGGTCTTCAGCTTACTCTTATTATAGAAGCAGTCAGTTGTGATATTTCAAAATCATAAAATCTACCTTCTTAAATTTGGTTTGAAACACAAGTGCTTCTGTTGGTAGCTTTTTATTTATTTTTCCTTTATCCCTTGCAATCTCATCACTGTTGTTCAATTGACTTTTGAAACCTGATAGAGCTAATAGTGTGACTGCTTATCTTTTCAGCATTTTGTACAACAAAAGGTTCAATGTATTTCACTTCCCGGTATCAGAAGAGGAGGTGCCTGACTATCGATCAATAATCCACAGGCCCATGGATATGGCTACTGTCTTGCAGCGGGTGGACTCTGGACAGTACCTTACCAGGGCAGCATTTATGAAGGATATTGATCTCATTGTCTCAAATGCAAAGGTACATCTTTTGGTGAACTTAGTTTCTTGATTCTTGACAGTACATTACAATTCAGTAATGAGAGTTGTGAGGATGACAGCTTAAATAATGCCGAACTTCCCCTTCTGTGACCTATAGAATTACAATGGGGATGACTACAATGGATCTAGGATCGTCAGTAGAGCATGTGAACTCAGAGATGTGGTATCTTGTTTGTTCTCACTTTCTCCTATATTGGGTTCTTGACAATGCCTCTACAGATTATCATTCTTATGTCTAATGAACCTCTTTTTGGCCAGGTCCAAGGTATGTTGTCACAGATGGACCCATCTTTGGTGTCCTTTTGTGATAAAATTGTTTCACAGGGGGGCCCACAGCAGGTTGTGGATGATGAAGATAACTCTATTCTTCAAGCAGCGCCTGTTGCTCAGCTGGTTTCTGGTACTAGATTAAGTGCAAGGCTTCGCAATGTACAGCCAGAAGTAAACGTGTCACAAAGTTATGAAGTGCTAAAGCGGCAAAAGAAAAGTGCTGAAAATGAGCACAGTCAGTTTTCAATATCTTAACTATAACCATTCATTTAATTTGCTTGTTAACTGTGATTGCAATAATTATGGAAAATGTTGATATGTTGTTTCAGGCATGACCAAAGATGTGGTAGCTAGAGATGGAAAGTCTCCAGAAGATGTAGATTTGTCAAAACCAACTGACCCAGAAGAAGCTGCAAAAGAACCAGAGTCAAATGGCACAACGAAAGAAGCCAACGATTCACCAGCCGAAGAACCAGAAGTACCTACTTCTCCTGAACCCATGGAGTCTGACAACGGTCAAGTTTTTAATGCTATATGGAAACTATTTCTGGAATTGTCCACTGTAAAACAAATACAATAGTCAACACGTCTACCTTTAAATGTTGTTTAAGTGGTTTTGCTTTTGATTTGTCGTTGTAGCAATTTCTCATGCTTTCCCCCTTCTAAAATTTCTTCCACTAAGCCACTTGCCTATTGCCGGCAAAAAGGTTAACGGGGCTGCTGTATCACGCCAAGCTTTAGGATTTTACCTAACTAGTGAAAGCTAAACTTAAAAAATTATGCATCGATCACTCTACTAGTGAAAGCTTTTTTTTGCACTTGATCTCAGTATGAATATGAATTCAATGAAACTACATTCTACAGACAGATAAAATGATATTACAACATTTCACTCCAGGGGAACTAGGAATGAGGCAATTCGAAACACCAATGTTCTATAGCATGGAACCTTTTACCTTATTTCTATCAGACAAAGGGAACATGAAAGAGATGAACAAGGGATTACCTAGGTACTGCGCAGGAGGCCGGGCGCGGAGCTCTGCGTTGTCGGCGCTGCTGGGGAGGGCGCTGGTGCGGGACGCTGGGGGGGGGGAGGCAGCAGGGAGCTGCATCGTCGGGCCGTGTGTGAGGGACGGGCGCCAAAAAGGGCGCGAGACGAGTCCAGGCGGCGGGCAGCCAGCAGGCGGCCGGCGCGTGGCGGGCGGCCACGGGACGACACGTGCAGCGTGGCGCTATGGGCGGGGTGGCGTCGGGCGGTGACGAAGCGGCCGGTGGGCCAAACTTTGCCGGTGGAGGTGGCTTCGGGGCCGCGGCCGGCGGGCGAGCGCACCGGGCGTGAGCACGGCGGGCGGGCACGAGCGGGGCAGCGCGGGAGAAGGCGTGGCGGCACGAGGATGACGGGCAGGGCGGGGGCGGCGCTGGCAGCGGCGGTGAGGGAGCGAGGGGACGGGAGTGTGCGTGCGTGCGTGCATGAGTGAGTCTCGGCCGTGCCAGTTAAGTCTTCGGTCAGGCCTTTGCCGAGTGTCCGCGATCCGACACTCGGCAAAGCCGGGATTTTTTTTTAAAAAACATTAAAAATCTTTGCCGAGAGTCAAGCCTATAAGGCACTCGGCAAAGACTATACTTTGCCGAGTGCTAACCCTATGACACTCGGCAAAGATATTTTTAAAAAAAACTTTTCTATTTCCTTTCCCTTTTCCTTAACCGTTTTTTTCAAATTTGTTCCAATACACTTTGAAAATACCTTGTCAAATTCACTCAACAATGCAAATTTGATGCTTCAGCGAAAAATAGACCATGATTTCATGTAGTTATAGCTCAAATTCCATTTATATAATTGCAATTAAAAATTAATAATTATCAAATGGATCCAAAAAATCACTAAAATTTAACATGACACGATCTTTGATGTCTATTGGCTATACAAAAAGTTTCGGAGTCAAACCACAACTCGACCGTTACTTCACTCCAAATCTTACCAGATCATTCTCAACAATCATTAAACTTCTTCGGAGATGTTTCGGTTTGTAAGCAATGTACGTGACAACTTATGCGACACCTTCTCAATTTTTTACCACAGCCTCCACATATGATATCATGACATCTTATCAAATTTCATGATTTTCAGACTTCCTTTACTTTTTATAGAATTTAAAAACCATTCAACCACACGCTCGGGGTCGTGTTTCCGAAATAAGATGTTCGAAAACCCTTATAATCTTATAGGTAAGGCCTCAAACTGGGTTGAATAACATGAATATCAATTTTATACTCATTTTTTCCAAATACTTGAATCACTTGCGGTTCAAATTTAACTTAATTCAAAAAATTGCTTGAAATGCAATTAATTTGTTAAATATAGCAAATAAATTCAAAAATACACCAAACTTAAGCATGGAGTACCAAATGTGGTATGTGGAGAGGTGAAATTTTTTGAAGTGCAGGAGTCAAAAAAAAATTATACTTTGCCGAGTGTCTGCTTTTGACACTCGGCAAAGAGCCTCTTTGCCGAGTGTTGCATTTGTACACTCAGCAAAGAGCTGACGGCGGCAGGCTGGTTTAACGGCGGGCCAAAATTTGCCGAGTGTGAGACGTTGACACTCGGCAAAAAAAGTCTTTGCCGAGTGGCATGTCTGAGCACTCGGCAAAGACTAGCTTTGCCGAGGGGCCGTGTCGTTGTCGAGTGTTCGAGTTTGGGCACTCGGCAAAGATAGCCTTTACCGAGTGCCCGAGATAAAAAACTTGGCAAAGTTCTTGGCACTCGGTAAAGCTTACGATTCCGGTAGTGAAAGTGCGGTTGCGGTGGCTTGTGTGGTGAACAGGTGATGATAGATACTTGGGTCGACTCCTTCCAGTTGGGGCACACCCATAAGATGACTTTAGAGGATTAGCCCCATTCAAGCTAAGCAATTGATAAGCATGTACGTTCACGTATATCACACTTGGAGGCTCTCCTGGATGAGATGGCACCGTACCCATGGACAAGCGCACATTGCCGCCACTTTTCTAGGGAAAGCGCTAGCATGCCATGCCATTTCACCGTGCCTGGAAAGCACATAGACATGGACTCTAGCCATCTATATGAATGCACAATGTGTGACACAGCTTTACTAAATTAATTCATTTGAATGTAAGGAATTGAAAAGGAAAATATCCCCTGATGCATGCATAAATCAAGCGTTCGTCGCCACCTGTTCCTTGGCTGGCTTAGTAACAGGCTAACTGACAATGGTTTCCAGGGCTGGCGCGCTCGGACGCACACTTGTCTGTTGGGCACCGATCTATGCACGGTTTCTACATGACAATGGGCACATGCTATACACATCATATCATCGAGTAGATAGATACATCAGGGTGTCTACATACATACACAGCTACAACACACCACATCGACACAACGCCGTGCGCGCACGCGTTTCTCCATGCACCAAAACTGATTGAGTAGTGAACAACACGACGCTCCGGCGCCGCAATGATCGACACCAGATCACAAAGACCGGTCATTGGCCTGCTTGCAGATGGATGCCTACGCAGCAGCCCCTGCACTACATGCGAGGCAACGAGGACCCCACACCTCCACAACTTTCTATCACGAAGGCCTTGCGGCAGCCAAGGGCTGCTGACGCGCGTGCATCTCAACATGGGCGGCCGCTAGCCGCAACAACCCTCTTCTTCATGCAGACAAGGCAACGGGCGGAGCAGGCCTGCCTGCATCCATGAGCGGCACGTGAACGCATACGTCCACAGGAATCGCAGGCCAGGGTAGGCAAACCGAGGGAGGTCATGACAGGCTGCACGCTTCACGCCGCACAAAAGCAGAGACATTCCATAACTCGAGCACCTATCGCCAGTAGCGGCCGAGGCCTGGTGCACGAGGACAAGCGTGGCACAGTTGGAAAGAACAACAGTCCAATGCCCAGTAGAAACAGCCACCACCGGAAAAGACGGGAGACAGACAGAGGCAGGCGAATTCAGCGGAAAGTGGCTTGCGCAACCTTCCTATTTAAAGCCCTCGGTATGGCTCATCCAAAATGGCTTCACCGGTGAAGCTACAAAAACCGGCTTTTCCCGACTTCTAGTTCATTTTAACCCCAATTTACAAAACGGCTTCACGCTACAGTGTCTCGATTTGCGCAAAATAGATGAAGCCAAAGCCGACATAAACCGTGCCAAAGAGGCCCTAAGTCGCGTGGCAGTGCCCGACTCACTGCACCACAACAACTCGTCCTGCATCCGTCTTGGTGACCGAGCGAGAGGTCAAGAAAGAGTTTGTGCATGTATATGTATGCTTTGTTTTTTCAGTACTATCTAGAGATTCTTCCTTGTTGCTTGATACGATTGTTGGTGCTTCCTAGATCTGATCTTAGTTGAGGAGCAAGAGAACCATGGCGGACCAACAGCAGCCCCAGCACCAGGAGATGAACGCTGTTCGAGCCGGTGGCCTCGACCTGCCTCCAGGGTTCCGCTTCCACCCAACTGATGATGAGATAGTCAGCCACTACCTGACGAACAAGGTGCGCAACACGGACTACACCTGCATCGCCATCGGAGAGGTCGACCTAAACAAGACTGAGCCATGGGACCTCCCGGGTACATAACAAGCAGCCTCGACCTACATACATATACACCTTGTTCTTGTTTGATCCGTGTAGTGGATGCATGCTGCTATGCCAGTCATCGACTAATATATGGCGCTTGATTCGCATGCTGCAGATGAAGGAAAATGGGGAGAGAAAGAGTGGTACTTCTTCTACTAGAAGGACCACAAGTACCCGACGGGGCTGAGGGCGAACCGGGCCACAAAGACCGGTTATTGGAAAGCAACAGGAAGAGACAAGGAGGTCTACAACACCACAAAAGGGGTGGTGCTGCTAGTCGGCATGAAGAAGACGCTCGTCTTCTACGAGGGCAGGGCTCCTAGGGGTGATAAAACCAACTGGGTGATGCATGAGTACAGACTCGAAGAGAGCGACAAGCTCCTCGGCCCTGCATCGGCATCTAGCTTAGTCGCTAACGCCGTTGCGGCCATGAAAGCTTCAGCTTCTACTGACAAGGTGCGTGGTAGCGGTAACAGCACCGGCATGATGCATGCATCCATATACTATTTTCTTTATTTGCTTAGCCTAATCTGATTTTGCTCCCGATTTACAAATGAAATTCTCACAGAATGAGTGGGTGGTCTGTCGTGTGTTTGACAAGACCACTAGGATCAAGAAGACGACTGCACCAGTGTACCAGGTGGCCATGGCTGGCGCTGAGATTGATCAGAATCAAAACAACATCTTGGCCATCCCCATCCCCATGCCGCTGCAGCTGCCACTGCCCGTGCCCATGGCCATGCAATTTCCCATCCTGCCAGACTTCGCCATGGACCCGGTGGCCCCTACTACCCCAACGGCGGTGTGGGATGCCGCCTATGTCAGGTATTGGTAGTACCGGCGGGCCGGCTTGAGATCAATGGCGCCCTGTTCGGCAATCCGATGGCCGCGCCACTGCCGATGAACTTCTACCACCAAATGGACATGGGGGCAGTAGCTGGCCAGATGGGCATGGAGGCTATAGCTGGCCACATGGACATGGGAGCAGCTAGCGCTGGGGGCTTCGATGTTGCTGCACCGGAGAGTAGGCCGTCCTCGATGGTGTCGCAAAAGGATGAGCGGGCTAATGCCGCTGAGATCTCGTCAATGATGTCCGTGACTGGCCCATGGAAGTACTGAAAGAAGTGAACGTGGAGGGAGGAGGAAAAGTTATGAATTCGCATAAATAT